CTCGCACGAGTATGTAACACCAAGCTATTTATTCCTGTCGCAAATCAATTATGCTTTATTTTTCGTTCTGTTTTTATTCAAGACTAGCTGACCGGGCAGACTTCGTAGTGCCTCAATCGATAAATAAAAGACACATCAAGTGACACATCAAAGGAAAAACAAAATTGTTTGTTTTTATATAATTCCGAGCTTTTTTATATTTTCTCACCTTTTAAACCTTCTCTGGACTTCCACAAATAATTCAAGACCAAAATTTGCCAAATCGGTTCAGCCGTACTCGAGTTTTAGCGAGACTAACGAACAACAAGTCATTTTTATATAAAGTGAAGATATTAAACCAAGTAATCAAAATGAATAATTTTATTTCTTTAAAAAAATAGTTGAATTGAGTCGAATAGTTGGTAGTACGAACTTGTTTACTGCTTATTCAGTTTTCGTTTTTATTCGTTTGGAAGTCGTTCTTTTCATAACAAGTTATAATCGATGTTTCGTGTAATGATCGTGTTTTACGCAGCGTAGTCGTCGTCGTGGTAAAAACAGAATGGAATTTGGTGACCGAGACCGGGGGGCACGCTTCGGCCAAATTCCTGAACGCTTTCTCTGGTGGGCGCCGCGACTCGGTGGGGAAGGCACGCGCTGTGCACCACACCGCACGCACTAGCGCAACGAAAGTGAGCGCGCAATATACGAACGACGCTGACGACGCGTTGCATAATTATTCGCTACCCAACCATTGTTTGTAAACACTCAATAAAACGAGAACATTTAAATTTGCGTGATTGTATTTCGATTAGATANTGAACGCTTTCTCTGGTGGGCGCCGCGACTCGGTGGGGAAGGCACGCGCTGTGCACCACACCGCACGCACTAGCGCAACGAAAGTGAGCGCGCAATATACGAACGACGCTGACGACGCGTTGCATAATTATTCGCTACCCAACCATTGTTTGTAAACACTCAATAAAACGAGAACATTTAAATTTGCGTGATTGTATTTCGATTAGATAGGCCAGGAACGCAGCAATAGACAAACAACGTTCTTAATTTAAATTTCATATCTTCTCTTACAAATTTTAATTGCATTCCTTAAGTGTTCAATATCTTAATTGTAGTGGTAGACTTGATTTTATCTTTTAAAGTATTTATTTGTGTACGTTTTTTTTTTAAATCGCACGACTGTATCAAATAAAGAATCCGCTTAACACAATATTTAGTACGACATTACATATGACTTACAGAGGGGTCTATAAAATATGTTTAAACATGTACATATATGTATATTTTATCTGTTTCAGGGCCATAGGTCGGATGGATTGTCAGGTGACGAGGTCTGGTATTTACAATACAATTTACACGTATTTCGTAAGCAAAATTATTTTTACGATTTAATCAGATTACCAGATTTTATTTAAGTATTTAGCTCGGGTTTATTATTTCTGATTTTTCGAGAACAGTTTTCCTAGTCACGAAGGACTTTATCTATATATTAATACGTGAAGCAAAAACTTTGTATCCCTTTTTACGAAAATTGCGCGGACGGAGGAGTATGAAATTTTCCACACTTATAGAGAATATAGAGAAGAAGTGCACAATGCTAATTTTTTTTTTAAATAATGCATAAAAGATACATTAAATCAATAAAGAAAACGCACACACGCATGCATACTATTTATTGTCAAACTTTTGTTCTTGACCTCTGTGGTCAAATTGATAATAGATTAAATATTGTTTGTCTATATTAATATTTTTTTATAGCCTTGGCGAAATTTGTGATTATAGAAGTATAAAATACAATCATAATAATAATGTACAAACTTACAATTCCAATTATAGTCGAATTTCGACTACTGCGGGACCTCTAGTTATTATTATTAGGCTTGATTTAAAAAATCGATATCAATGAACATAGAATTGTTGTTGCGAACAGAGTAACTATTTACAAATTACTACTTGAAAATACCTAGTTAAGAATAGATTTGTTTTAAACAAGTGAAGTAGGTAAGTACGGTTGATCCATTGTTTAGGTAAACGTATAGCCCGGACGTATCGGTTGACTGAGCCAGGATAATGTGGTAAACAATCAACATGACGGTCAACATCTGACGGTCACCATCATTAGATAATGAGGTTTCAATTGTACGATAACTCTTGTGAATTGCTTCCTATTATTTCTTAACTACCTAATTTTTAATGTTTCTGAAATACAAGTGCTGGCACAAATACTGGTGGCAGGACCTTTTGTGAGTCCGCGTGGGTAGGTACCACCACCCTGCCTATTTCTGCCGTGAAGCAGTAATTCGTTTCGGTTTGAAGTGTAGGGCAGCTGTTGTAATTATACTGAGACCTTAGAACTTATATCTCAAGGTGAGTGGCGCATTTACGTTGTAGATCTCTATGGACTCCAGTAACCACTTAGCACTAGGTGAGCTGTGAGCTCGTCCACCCATCTAAGATATAAACAAAATAAAAAAATTCACTCTTCAAGATAAATTCAGTATTCTAGGATAGTCGGGTCTGTGAAAAACTAAAAATAGAATCTACTACAGTATAATTAAAGTTGAAATAAAACATTGTTCTTCGTTCTTTTTGAAGTTTTTTTTTCCACATACCTATTCGCTGGTAGCCTAAGGGGCTGTTCAAGCATCTTGTGGATGGGGAGGTGAGCTCACGGGCTCAACCTGAAAGAATTTACTAACTCTAGCAAGAGCAGTGCTTTGCAGAATCTACCACCGGACCGGAATCACGACCCTTTAGGAAGATCCGGCGAGAAACTCAGTGGGCTGTGTCTATGGGTTTTGCTCAAATTGGACGACAGTCCTAAGGTGAAATTACCGGAGACACTTAGATAACACAAAATGAATGGAACTGTTTTATTACAGTGGAGATTATTAGCAAAACATCGCTCTTTTTCGAGAGTTAGTTGTTCCCAATACTTGGGAGGATTTGTTAGGCCATGTGTAGAATAAAAAAAAACCGGACAAGTGCCAGTAAAACTCGTGCCCTGAAGGTCCCGGTGGCAAGCTGTTGCTTACGTATTGTGCGTGTGTCCCAAATATATTATGCATTACCCAGAAAACAAGTTTACTAACATCAATATTAATGTTAGTTAACTTGTTTAAGAATTTGGTTGTATGGATTATAATCCCTTTACATATCCAGTTTTACGAACGGAAACCAAAACAATTTAGAGATATTTATGTAACAGGAAAATTATTATAAATACAAAATAACTAGACAACGAAAAGAATACGTTTTTAACAACGTATATATTTTCTTTAATGAATTTTAATGAGAAACAAAAATTACTGCGATCTTAAGCGATTTGGCCAGTCTGTTTTTGCACGTTAAAAGACAAACTAAGATTTGCGGTCGAAAAATTTAACTCCCATGCAGTTTTTTTACGTGACGGTCGATGATTTAACTGCAAACGTAACTTTGTAAATAAAATAACAAAAAGTTTTTTGTGTCAGAGATACAAATATATTATAATTTTTAAGTTTTTCCTATATAAAAGCATTTCAATTTTCATGGTTTTATGTAATCGGAAGTGCCCTTACAGGCTTGTGACTGATATATTGTGATTATCTAGTAAAATTGAGAAGCTTGACATTTTTATGACTTCCTTCCGTCTTAGACCTTTTTAGGTATTTCGTACTAATTTTAATTTAAAACCAGTTTCTGAGAAAACACGGTCTGAGTGTGGGACCGATAGACAACAAAGTCAAATTACTGCAAGGATTCAGTTTTTCCTTTTTCATGGGGACTCACAAGACGTCCTAAAATATTAAATAAATTCAATGTCATTGTCTAAATGAAATATATTTCCAGTTTTTTTTTTCGTTTTTGTAACTAATGATTCGATTTAATGAACATGATTGTAAAGTTTCTCTTCAGTCATATGTGAGTCGACTATTATCAAAGGCGGCAATCTGACTTTTGGACAATGATTGATAAATCAGAAAAACGAATTATTGACTTTGTATTCCATCGGCAGTCACAAAACTCTTCGGAACGACATCTTAGATAAATAACAGGTTAACTATTAACCTTTATTTAATGCAGTTTTTGAACCGTATTCTTTGAAGGAGACGATTATATTCAAATCAATCTGTATTGACATATCAATAAAAAATTTTTGTCCAAATGCACAGATTGCCACCTTTGATAATAGACGACTCATGTATTATGTTTAACATACAAACTGGCGCGTTCTCGGGAGACAATGTGGTTGGATCTGGAATGCAGCCTGCTTACAAGGCCGCGAACCGTCCTATATCTAACAACTAGACAACTCGACGTACATTCATATCAATTAATTTATATCGCATTTATGCAGCGTATTTAAATGTAAATACAGTGGCGAATATTTTTACATAGGTGTTTCAATGTCTTTTATCTTACAGAATTTCGAACAAGTCTAACTTTTTTAAATTTATCTATACTCTATATAGTCATAGTTTCGACTGTGCCCAGTCTTTACAAAACTGCCCATGGATGTACCAATTTTATCATGTATTCTATGTGTGAAAGCAGTAGAAGTCAAGTTGCATTTAATTCGATGAAGAAATATCAAACAATCATTTTGAATAAAACGTATTTGTTATGATGAATATTTCGTGTACCTATATCGAGTGTTGTGTCCACTAAACAATGTCAGCTGGAATTCGGAATGCGATCCGCCTACAAGGCCGAAGGCCATCCCGCCGTAGAAGATAATATGTGTCGTCGAATTAACTATATTTAAATTATTATAATTTCTATCGATTATTACGTAACAAAGTTGAGATCATTGAAGGTAAAAGAAACCATTTAAAATTCTTTTTTGACTTATACAACATAATTAGTATTATAATATAACGAGACATACCTATATCCTGCAGTATGTGATCCGCGAAATCACGAACACATTCAAATGTGAGTTACGCAATAGTAAAATACAATTTCATAAATTTCCTTCAGCTATGTCAGTAAGGATAAGATAATCAAACTATAATCCTTACCAAAACTATCGGAGTCGCTGACAGGATAGGCAGGACACGGCTGCACCATGGTGGCAGCTCGTGATAACACATCCAGGGGAGTTTCGACCTTCTCCATTGCTTATCTGAAATTTATATTCGAATCCTATTAGAGAAAGTTTCACTTTCTTTTATTACAACATATTATAAATAAATTTAATGTGTCCTTAAGAGTTTTACGGCAAAATTAATTTATATCGTCAATGAATTATAATTGATATATCAACATTCCGCTATCAAAATAGGATGCCAATAAAATTGCAAAAATGTAAACAGATTAAAGTGTTGGAATGCGGACCGTGACTTAACATTGAATCTCGATTATTTTGAAACAGTCTGGCCGGCGCTGCGAAAAAAAAAAACATTCATAAATTAAATAAGTATCGCAGACCGAGAGTCATAAAGGCATACGAATACCGGAGCAGTGGAATTTCCTGACGGCACGTTAACGGCTAGACGTTGGACAGACGTGCGCCAAGTCTTACAGTCACCACGTAAATAAGACAGGAGTCAGATGATCAAACAAAGAGTTGTGAAACGTGGCAATTGGCCGCATACCGCGCACGTCGCGGGAACGAAGCCAATGCTCCACTGTACTCCGGATCCGATATGCTCCACCAGACAATCACTATTATCATCACTATTTCATAAAATTAGAATTACGTAAAACACGGTTTACACCGGAAAATATTTTCGTGTTCTCAACTTATTTATAAATTGAGAAATTAGCCCCAAAATTGAGGGCATAGTAAACTGTCTTACCAACTTACATACCATATTGTCATATATTGCCGTGTTATATACATAATAATATGTAGTTAGACGTGTGGTTAGTTGGTTAGTACATCAGGTGCAAGTCTTGTAGACATACTATTATTTCACGTTATAAATTCATAAGTTGTATCTTAGGTCATCAATTTGAATCAAAACAAAAGACAACGATCGAGAAAAATTGAATACTTTTTGTATTGTGTACTAAAATTATTGTGGGTTGTAATAATTCGAAGCTGTTTTTTTTTTGTTCTGCTTTTATTACACCAATCTAAAAATTTCTTAATAGGAAAGCATTAGAACACATTTCTATTTCTATATCTTGTTTTAGATAACATTATTGTTTATTTACACGACCTAAATCAAATCTTAGCTCCTGAAATACAGGTATATTCCAGATTTATTAAATATTTTTCACTCTATCAAACAGTTCTTGCGACCGTACTGTTGAAGGGATGGGCAAACAAAAGAGCGGAACAAGCGATGATTTGTTAATGATGAGGAATTTGGTACATTAACCACATTAGAATTTTTGTGTTCAGTGGCGGAGTCACGCGCACTGATGGTATGTCGGTCTGTACACATAGATGCATCATTCGACACAAAGTTAGTCAGATGGTCACGAAGCCATTCAACGGAACATTGAAGTTGTAATGGAATTTGACATGTAAATCCAATTATGTACGTACGTACCAGGAATAGTTGAAATATTACAGGGACTTTTTTATTGGCTGTTACTTTTGTATACAGAATAAATTCACGACATCGGATAAGTCATTTAAAATATTTTATTTACTAACGAAATATTATTATTTAGATTAAATATTCCGTGATAAAATTTGTTAAATATGTATTACCATATAAGTAGGTACCTACATTCTTCGAGTTTACGCTACTCGATTTTGCTGTTGCACTCAATCATATGGTCTGTTAAAACAATAATTTTATAATATATTATAGTTTGCTAATAGTTTTTTATAATTTATAAATATATAAGTTAAAATATAAACTATGATGAAAAGCCGAAAATATTAAAATATTCTTTCCGATGATCCTGGTTAGAATATTAGGACAAAATTAAAAAAAAAAAAAAACTATATTATTATATGTTCTTGATGCGTGTACAAATTCTGTAATTAATCGGACGATTTGAAATTGTTAAAAGTTAGATAGATAAACACAGGTGAAGCTAATAAAAACGTGATAAATATATATTTTCCAAATTAGTTGCGTTCACATACAATGGTTCCGAAAATGTAATTGTCGTATATACGAAATTATTGTGAAGTGAATTTGATAAATTGCGCTCAAGAATACGTTGATATTCAACCAATATTGGTTAATTAATGTTATCTATAGTACTTTACAACAGTATAATTTAACTGTTCGCTGAACCGTATTAGTGTTATTGATTGTACAATTAGGTACATAATCTCGAATACCAAAGTAGTGAATCATTCTGTTTTTCAGTTCATTTGAAATTAAGGCAACATTGCGATTCGTTTTACGCAAATAATTGAGACATTTCAGATACACTATTAAACTGTAAATTTATAATCTTACAGGGTAATTAAGATGCTTTTATCATGGTAAAATTCTTAGGAGGAAAGCCTTTTTTTTAAGAATCAATGAATTTTTAAACACACTTTTCAGGGATTTTTTTCTTTTATTCTATGAAGGTTGGGCTCCAAATAAAACTTTGCGTAGAGCTACATATTATGGATAAAAATGGTTTAATAATACTTTGGCTATTATTATACCTCTTTTGTTAAAAAAATAATAGACACGTAAACCAAATTTCTTTATAATATTTTTTGTCTCAGATTGTTGTCAAGTAAAAAAGATGGGTTTTAATTCAAACAACCTATGTTGTTACATTGTGTTGCGTTTATTTGATTGAAGTTGTAGATAGATCACATATCTAAGTATTTAAGTCCTGTTTAAAATTATATCGTTTTGAATCTGAACAAACATTTGCACAAATTCCGGAAGTTTTGCATACGTTAGATGCACGTAAATAGGCAATTCAAAAATAATATTTCTTAAAGGTTACATACATGATTTTTCATCTAAAATGCATCATGGATTGTTATCACCTGCCAGTCACCAACGAAAACCACATGGTGGTCGAAACCTTGACATTCCGAGCGTTAAAAATAATTCTCTATTTCAGTTAAACGTATTCTAAAACGACTTTCGTTCTACTTCTCACACAGTAAGGTTTGGATTACTTTGAAAGTTGGTTATTTAATGGTAGCCCGCATTTGGGGTGAATTCTTTTACGACATTCGCCACCCCTGCTGCGCCTGCGCACGTGGTGCAAGGGGAACGAGGGAACTACGGCAGATGTTCCATTTGTAAAACTGCCTATATAGTTATCCATGCGTAGTTAACTGTATTTTTTTTACTATGAATAACTGAGCATTTATTCAGCCATATTATAACGTGGACGTTTTAAAATTGGAATACATATTTGAACTTATTATGTAATACCTACTTACTTACCATTTGTTAATATAGACGTGTTTGTTAGACTGTATCTGCATAGTTTTTTTTTATTATTAGAATAATTTAATTTTTTTTTATATCATAGATATGCCAATAAAATTCGATTTAATGCACTGTGTATAGGTAGTGTTGTTTGGTAATGCTTATCTAGTTTAAAGCGAAATTTTAACGGAAATTCTTTGCTGGGCGTCCGGTTTAGTGTGTGTTTTTGATAAAACTGTTTACTGTATAATACTTATAATACTTTACATATCGTTGACGTATATATTCTTTTTACATTCAACATCAAAACGTTTTTAAGGTATAATCAACGAATATGAATTTTTAAACAGCTACAGAGCCTTAATGAGATTGATACGCGTTCTAATTGTTCTAAGATTCCATTGTTCTAAGTACCTACTCAGCATAAATCAAATTTTAGAGGCAACAAGTTTACAGAATAATTAAGGCTGGGAAGATCATAATAATTTTGTTTTTCGTTAATAATGAATTTTCAGCATATTAAAATATTCTAGAGCGAAAATGTATTTGGCAATTGGAATTAATTTAGGTAATAATAACTATCGTGTTTTATACATTTATATTTGTAGATTATTTGGATTGATTTGATAAAGAGCAGATATATCCTAAATTGTTTACCGCAAACGTCCAAATATCTATACGAATGCATAAAATAACCAACTAAAATGAATAAAATGATTTATAAATACGATGAGTATGATGGTCTTGAGCAATCAGTGAACGTTTTATCGTGTCGTTATCAACGTGCGGGCCACATGCATGTGTACCGCGCGAATGTTCGCATTCCACGCTATTATGTTCGCGAGATTCCACGCCGTGGACTAGCTATCAGCCTTCGCCGAATACCGAAGTACTTAGAGGCGAAATTTTTTGTACTCGCCAATTGCAAATCGAACCGGTATGTAACTCATTTCTGAGCAATGTTTTTTTTACTAAGGTATTTAAGCGATCTCATAACCATTATTGATCTTGGGCCCGAATCTAAGTCTGAGCCTAATTTTATGAAGGAAATATAATAAATAACTAAATGTTTTCATTGAACAAGAATTACTCTACCATTATAGGNAGAGGCGAAATTTTTTGTACTCGCCAATTGCAAATCGAACCGGTATGTAACTCATTTCTGAGCAATGTTTTTTTTACTAAGGTATTTAAGCGATCTCATAACCATTATTGATCTTGGGCCCGAATCTAAGTCTGAGCCTAATTTTATGAAGGAAATATAATAAATAACTAAATGTTTTCATTGAACAAGAATTACTCTAACATTATAGGAACTGGCATTGAAACTCTGTACAGGAAGTTTGATAGTTCTCAAGAAAAAAAAAACACAGTTTTATAGAGTAAAAACATTGTAAGTACTTACGATATTGATGATTTCCCACGACGTCCAACAACAATCCGAATTAACTTTCTCACAGCGACAGAAAGTCCCGAAATTTAACGAGTTGTATTCAAACTTAGAATCCAGAAGCGTATATTTACTATAAATTATTTCATGATAAGCTGTATTACACCGGTGAAGTACGAAAATCAATAGGAATGTATCGTAAACGTTTACCAGTCCCCGATAAACTCGGTATGTAAAAAATCGCGATGTAACTTATTGCGACGCAAATTATACAGATTTCTAATAATTAATAATCATCGTTCGCCAAACACTGATGAAGTAAATATTTGTTATTATTTCGTAAAATCCAACTGCCGCGCCACGACTCTGTTGACGAAGTAGTCGCGTTTGACATTTGAGCCGAGCCCACTACGATCGGAATTCGTGGAATGTCAAATATTTTTAGTGCTGCCATCTGTGTAGAGGAATCCGAATGTATTGAGGCGGCACTGGAGTGGGGCCATTTTGTTTCCTTATATTGAATATTATGTCGCCAACGAAACATTTTAAAACGTAATCTCTTTTGTTGTCTCGTTTATAACTCCTTATTAGACTGAAGCGTTAAGGTCAAAATCTGAAAACATACGTCGTTGTTCATGACACTTGTAAATACCTTGATTGGATCGGATGTGTACCACCAGTCCAACGTAAGACTGCCTTGGGCCTCGTGTCTTTCTGCCTGTGCGTGATAGTAAGTTTGTGTGGGACTGTGAGAATGCGAGATGTTAGCGGTCACCGGCGCAAGTCAGCGCTACAGCGCAGACGTTCTGTTGGCTGCCGGCGGCCGCGTCTGCTGCAGGGTTATCGACACACGCCGCGAGGCGAATAGTAGGGTCGACACTCGAGAACAACGTTGGCCTGCGCATGTAGCATGACACACTGTTTCGGTTCGATACTTTCTTTAGAATTTATAATTCAAGAACATGGAATATCTCGTGCAAATGATACTTTTTTTCACAATTTAATAGTGAATTATTAAGTATTCGTATCATTTTAATCTAAGTATCAACAATTTTTTCATTACAACAGCCTTAACCAATGAAACTTCATGAAATCTTGAATTAGTTTGGTTTTAATAAAATTATGGTTAAATAAAATTTATATTTAGTAGACATTTAATGATATTAACATTTTATCTAAAGGTGTCTTCGCGTTCAGAATCGTTTATAGCGATTAAATAATAAAATGAAAATAAAATTGATTATCAAAGAGAGGAAAAATTGTACGGGTAAAGGATAGCACAGCCACTAAGTCATATAACTGACACTTAAGACTTCATATCTTAGGTGGGTCGCGGCTTTCACGATACTATGTCCATAGGCTCCGTAAATCACTTAACACTAGGTAGGCCATGTGCTCGGGCACCCGTTCGGTACGGAATAAAAAATAAAAAGGTAACCAAGCATTGTTGCTTTAGGAAAACCGAAATGAAATTACTGGTTCGCGGCAAAAATAGATAGAATAACCTATACGTGAGGCATACCGTGTTATATCAAGCAAAATACGCACCACCACAGGTCCGAACCTGTCGCTCGCGACGATGGGCTCGGCGAGTAAATTAACCCACAGGCACACTGAGTTTCTCGCCGGATCTTCTCAGTAGGTCGCGTTTCCGATCCGATGTTAGCAACACCTCCGGCTTGAGACACGCTAGGGTATCGCTGATATAGCCTCTCAAGATTATCAGCATAGGTAAGAACAAAAAACCTTGTTTGCAACTAATGCGCAATGCTTGGGGGAGTTACTGTCGAGGATGGAACGTGTGAGCCTTGAGTTTGGATTGAAGATTAACCGCAGCAAGACCAAGGTGATGATTGTCGATCGCGCTAAGAATAACTCGCCGGATGTCACTCAAATAGCGGGTTGCGACGTGGTCCAGTCCTTGGGGCTTTAATCTCAAATAATGACGGATGCGTGGACGAAATCAAAAGGCGCATGCATGGCTGTCACGAGGTCGGCGATAGACGGGCTGAGGAAAGTATGGATAAATAGAAACATAACCAAAACCACAAAGATCAGGCTCGTTAGAACACTAATAATCTCAATATTTCTATACGCTGCCGAGACGTGGACCGTGCGGGACGTAGAAAGGAAGAAAATAGACGCTCTGGAAATGTGGTGCTGGAGAAGAATGCTTGGAGTTTCGTGGACCGACTTTCGTACAAATGTCTCGATACTTCAGGAACTCGGCATCAAGCAGCCTCTATTTGCTATAGTACATTCTCGAATGGTGGATTTCTTAGGACACGTGTCGCGACTAGATGGCCGGTCCATAGAACGCCTCGTTGTACAGGGAAGGGTTGATAGTACACGACCGCGCGAGAGGTCACCAATGCGGTGGACCGACCAAATTAAAACTGCAGTGGGAGGTCCTCTAAATGAGTGCAGTAGCATGGCCTCAAGCAGGGAGAGATGGCGGGACATCGTGAGACGCATCAAGTCTGCCCCTTCCAACAGTACATGACGATCACGACCACTCTGTCAAGAGTGACACGATTGAGAAGAAGAAGAAGGAAAAAAACCCACCACGGGTAAACAAAGTTATGTTCATTTTACGAACTAATAGACATGTAGACGTAAATACATCCATAGACAACGTAGTTTTAATGACTATTGACTTACGAGAATCCAGAAACGATCTGCCACTGTCCCAATGAAATACTTATTGCACCTAAGATTAAGATACCTACACCTATTACCATCTTGCTTATTTCTGTCTTAAATCAATAAAACGGTCCGGTTTGAGAGGTTTTTTTTATTGCCCTTGTAGGCAGACGAGCATACAGCCCACCTGATGGTGATGGTTACCGTCGCCCATGGACTTCAGCAATGCCAGGGGCAGAGCCAAGCCGCTGCCTACTTTACTTTAAGGTTAGTACGGCTTAACAGGCAGATACCTACTCATGCGGTCCACCTGATTCTAAATAGTCATTGTCGTTCATGGAGCTCATCACTTTCGCAGGCAATTGCCTGCCATTGTTAATTCTTTTCATAAAGGAAGGAAGCGCATCTTACCCCTTGGCCACAGCCGAGAGCGGTGCGAATTGCGGTGCGTCGTGAGGCGCGGCAAGCGGGAGCGGCGAAAACAAATGGTAGACAACCTATGAAGTATGCCACAGCTACTGGCGGTGCGTTTTGCGGTGCGTTGCGAGGCGCGGTGAGAGGCGCGTGACATCTGGCGGCGACGAGCTGCACGATGTGCGAGTGAAACAAATGTACTAGACAATATGGAGGCGGCCACAGTTCAGAGCGGCGCGCGCGGCGGTGTCGGTGGACGCATTGAGGCATCGCGCGACCGAAACAAATCATTTTGTTTTTACCGCGCGTTGAGCTAATAAAATATAATGGATGTGGAACAATTCATTAGTGAAATACTGAGTAGACCAGAAATATGGATGTTAAAACATCCACATCATAAATATAGGCATGTTATAAAAAAAATGTGGGACGAAATAAAACAACAATTTTCTGGTACTAATGGTTTCCTAGATACTCTTGGATAGGATTATTGAAATAAAATTTGAAATTTGAATTGATTTCGTATTCTAGATGCTTGAACCGTTGCTCGATTATTCCGTCTTGATCTGCGTACGCTATTGTGAATATTGGAGTCTCCAAACTGGGAAACAAACTGCTGAAAATCTGCATCTCTGTCTCCATCACTTTCTTTTAAGGCACGAAACCTTTATAATCAATGTCGCGTGCTTTTTGTTTGCCTTTACACTTTTCGTAAAAATACGAAATTTATTAGTTAGAATACCAAACGCGTACTGAATTGTGACACTTGCCCGGGATAATATTTTGTCGAAAATTATTTGTTCCGCATTTAAACTACCCGGTGGATATGGGCGCATCAAATAATTTTTAAGAGGATAGGCTTTATCAGCAATTAACACGTATGGTAAATTTAGATTTGAACCTGGTAATATCTGTGAAGGTTGAATCTATTAATAATCTATTTATCGGGATAGTTCTTATATTCCTAATATAATACCTAATAAATAGGGTGAAATTCGCCAAGTTCTCTCTTTTTCTAACTGGGTGCGCTCCTATTCTTGATTGAATAATATCTTCAGCTAAGAACGCACTTATTTCAAGGTAATATCGTGCCACTTTTGAAAGGGAAATTTGATAGGGCTTTCTAAATACGTCCACCTCTGACGCCGCCGCCGTCGCAACTAGTCTAGCTGTGGCATACCCCCGCAAATCACGCCGCCCGCCGCGCCTCGCAACGCACCGCATAACGCACCGCCAGTAGCTGTGGCCAGGCCCTTATTCTAGTGTCGTATGGTAGGTGGTTATAAGGTTGAATTAGAATGTGCCGTCAGATGGTGCAATGATAAACAAAACGGCGATATAATATCAAGTAGCTCTTCCGAAGACTTTTCCTGTAGCTTACGGTATTAAGTACAACGAGCAGCAAAGTCTCGAGTTCGATCTCCATTCGAAATGGTTCGTGATGTCCAACAGTTTTCAATAACCCGAACATTTTCATAAGCCAGGAGCACGCATTCAGGCTGAAGAAGTCGTGGCCTAAAGGACAAGACGTCCTTTACATTCGTATCTAGCGACGCAACGGTGTTCGAATCCCGCATGCGGGTACCAATTTTTCTAATGAAATACATACTTAACAATTGTTCACGATTGACTTCCACGGTGAAGGATTAACATCTTGTTACAAAAATAAAAAACCCGCAAAATTATAATTTGCGTAATTACTGGTGGTAGGACCTCTTATGAGTCCGCACGGCTAGGTATCACCACCCTTCCTAATTCTGCCGTGAAGCAGTAATGCGTTTCGGTTTGAAGGGTGGGGCAGCTTTGTATACTGAGACCTTAGAACTCTTATCTCAAGGTGGATGGCGGCATTTACGTTGTAGATGTCTATGGGCTCCGGTAACCACTTTACACCAGGTGGGCCGTGAGCTCGTCCACACATATAAGCAATAAAAAAATAAAATAAAATAAATACTATTCAAAATCCTTCAACGTGAATGTCGCCACTCACGGACACTTGAGGTTCTATTATTTCAATATTTTCAATTATATAATAATTACGCAAATTATCAATTCAGAGGTTTAATTTTTTTCTCGTTCTTATTTCTTCATCGTGAAAGCTATTCGTGGTAAGTACGTATTTCACTAGAAAAATTGGTACCTCTGCCTGGAGGATTTCGACACTAGCATAGTCGCATCGCTTGAGACGAATATCCTTTAGGCCACGACGACTAGAATAGCGAGATGCAATCACTACGAAGTTCTATTAGTACTCGTCTTAAAAATAATAATGCTAAATTACAGATTTTTAAACTAATTTCCACGTTGACGTCATAACTTTTATATTATTAAAGTTTGTATTAATATTGTGTAAACATGATGCATATAGAATTACATAGAATTCTATTAACCGAAGCCATTATCTACGTAACTTGTCCAGAAGATCGCAGCAATAAGCGCATAACGTTCCTACGTATTTAGATTTTGTATGCATTCAACTTTAAAGAGGAACAATCCATGTTGAAACCTTTGCTCTGTTCTGGTCTCAATAATAAGGTAACATTCGATTAATGATTTAGGTAAGATTTACAAATAAAACAATACGAATTATGTCACGATATTTATTTAATCTAAACACAACAGTTTAATTAATCCCTTGACAAATAAATGCATTGTTGACGGAAAACAAACAATCATTAAACTCTAAAATAATATAATATACGCATATCGAGACCGATCTACATTTTTTTAATTTAATTTCAATCCCAAGCTGCAGTGCGCTGTGTCAAGTTACACTTAGTTTCCGGCTAATTCCAAAATACCAATTTTTTTATATATTTCGTTCATATTTGCATAATTTCCATTTACTATTGCTTTGATATAAGGATGGGTACCACATCTTGACTGGGGCGTTTTAACATATTTAGAAAAGTTCAATCATCAACTCCAATAATGAACTCACTTAAGTGTTTTCGCAGCGTTTGACAACCTTCCTTGTGCTAAGTTTAGATTCTTCTAAGGATTCTAATAATTCCTGTTCTTTGCGGTAGATATTAGATTAATACACGTTGGACTTGTCATCGAAAGCAATAAAATATTAAGATGCAAATAAAGTAGCATATTTCACGAAATTGGGGCATAGTTTTTAAGCATTATTTGATGTGTAAATAAAAATTACGTTGCTCTGTTTTTCTGCAGAGTGAGATTGAATTTAATCTCTAATAATACCACAAAATCACGATGACTGCATTCAGCTAAAGCTAAGGTCAATTCAATAACGTCTATTGAATAATTAGTTGCTTTTTTAATATAATAATAAAATAAGTTCAGATAAACTTTCGTAAGCTTTAGAAGCGGTTCGGAGAGTTTAAATAAACTTTGACAATATAATTTTTATGAAAAACAAAACAGCGGGAAGAAAGTTAAACGATGGGTTTAGTTATTTCAATTCTATTTGTTTATTATTTTTCAATAAGTAATACGTAAGAGAATTGAATCCATCTTTTTGCTGTTCATATCAACATTTTTGTTTTAATTTGACTTACTTATTAATTTGCTTATGTGATTGGAAGATCACTTTACTGGTAATTGTCTTCTTTAAAACTATAAATAATTATCTACTTTTTAAAAGCACATAAATTAAACTAAGGTAATTCACAATAAATCCATTTTGTTTTTGCCCGACCTAACTGTTACATAAAATAGTGTAAAATCTTCCTAGGGACTTTATAAGCGTGCAATTTTCGGGATTTGATCACACTTAATATAATTTTAATTATATCTATCATCTAAGTACAATATAATCCTCTAATTATATCTAACCTAAAATATATATTTGGTTCTGTTTTTCGAAGAGGACTCAATTGATTAAATAATTTTGTCCAACTAAATAAGTGAAAACATTTATAATGTTAAAAACGTTAATTAAGTTTGTTTATTTATTGTGTTTTTGTGTATATTTTTGTTTTAAATCCATGAAATTTTGTCTCTAAAATCATATTTCGTTACGGTAATAAATCATTTAGTGTAGAGAAAAAAAACATGTGGGCCTCTACTACTATTAGTATTATAAATAATACTTAGGTCTCAACTCTATTTATTGACTATTGACTCATTTTGACACTACTATTTATTATTTAGGTCAAAAAAAAAGCATAACAATTAATTTAAATCAATATAACTCAGAGAACAAGCCACAGAGAACAATTTAATTAAATCTTACAATAATTTCATCAACATTTAATTCATAAAAATGAATTGGGACGGACGACATACATCCAAAATTAATATTTTATTTATTTAAATGAAGTAATACCCCCCTAATGAAGAAGGAATGTGGGAGAAAAGTATATAAATATTTTATGTATGTTTCAAGTTAATGACGCTAAGTACATTGTTTTAGGAGATAACGAATACCCTGTTGTGTAGTGGAGTATTAAGAATGATAAAATAATCGAAAAAAGTCGAATGACATAATTTGTATTGAATCAGTAACTATAAATAAATAGGCAAAGACAAAACAGATGCGCTTCTTCCCTTGTTTGTTCAGATTACTGTTATTAAATACCTACCTTCAAAATAAAACAAAAGAGAAAATACGTAAAATGAATCTAATTCTTTAGGTGTCAATGATTATGGCTTCTTGGATTGTTATCTGATTATGACCACTAGGCCAACACTAGTAAGGTTCAATTACCACAGACACTACAAACTATAACATTTAATGCAGAATTTTAGACTTCTACGTCAAAGCTTAAGTATTAATGTGCAATACATAATATACATTTTGTCAACATTGATTCAATAAATAGATCATATAAGGAAACATAGTTTTATCATTCATATATACTTTATTGCTAAGTTTCTAAACGTACCAAAGCGATATTATGCCCACCGTATTATGTCAAACAATAAGTTAATTTATCTAATGCGTTATGAACGATAAAGGAATGCAAATAACTAATTATTTTTATTATATTGTTTCCACTTTTACATGCTAACATTGCAATCTACTGACGATTGTACTATGGATAATAGACGTAATAGATTAATGAATAAGTTTTCAAACTACCTTAATAGTAAGTTACTACGATTATTAATGTAATGTATTTATATAGTTAGGTACTTTATAGGTTAATACTTTACCGCAGCCTATAAAATGACTATTATGATTTTCGATCACAAAAAAAAAACAGTTTTCATGGCGATTTCATTGAAAACTGACAGCACTAAAATTCTGACTTGAATAGTTCCTAAGCAACGGCGGATCCAGCAGGGGGGTCATGGGGGTCATGACCCCCCCCTGAGCTAGTTCCAGGACTTGAACTAACTTGGACTAATTGAAGAACATCATGATTTATTTATTATCTATTGTTATCAAAATTAAATTATAAGTTCTTAACTTGCCCACGACTATGTGACCCCCTCCTGGCGCCAAGGCTGGATCCGCCCTTGTTCCTAAGTAATGCTAAATTGTTATTTCTATTAAAATTATTCGCTATAAGTAATGATAGATTATTTGATGGTCTTTCATATCTCGATTTACTTCATTACTTCGTTGTTTTTTGTGTTTAAGTAGATTTAGCTCATACAGATTGAAATCAGTTTGTGTTATTCTTTGGATATTATAAGACTGTGCGTATGTTGTTACTATATTCGACTGAATTGTTGCATTGAAGTTTAAGTAACGAGACAAGACAAGAACTATATTTATTAATAAATTTTAACTTGCCTAAAACAAATCATTTTGATTCAATGATCTGGCACGATTTAGTGGATTGCCTACTTCGTACGAAATTCGTTTCAGTTTTATCGTCCACTGACAATTATAACTTCTTACTTAACCCTCATTGAGAGTAAATGAATAAGCTTTTGTCCGCATAGGTGTGGGATTATTTTAATTTCTTAAAGATAAGCCTTCTCTAAAATAGCAATAAGTGCACCTTGTCGCATTATTCTATGACAATATTGATTTTATTTCTAGAATTTATCGTTAATTTTTTTACTTGCGAACTAATGTCACACAATGGAATGTTTAAATTAATTGGAGCTTTGAATCAATGGCCGCGTAATTCTTGAAAACAAGTTTGTATCAAACCATTTAGTTTGTAAATGATATGTAGCTAATGTTTTTATTTGCAGAAAAAGGACTTTTTCATGCAAATAGTAATATTTTATACACAGTATATATAATATATAGTCACTACAATATAATTTACAAAAACATCCCTTGTCACAAATTTTGTAAATTTGGAAGGAACATAAACTCTTAATATTTCAATAGGCCGTGAATTTTTCAATAAATTTAATAAAATCGTTTTGATTTAATATCTAAGTTAATCTTTTACTATACACATATATCGTATTTTATAGCTTTCTATACAGGGTGATTTTTAAACTGGAAAATGACAGCTAAATCTATAACCGCGATGTATAAGTAAAATATGGTGAAAAAACATATAAATAAACAATTAAAATATTCCTTTTATGAGTATTTTTTGGTTATACTGTTTTCAAATTTTGTATTATCCCTAACTGATTACTACAGGGTGTGCTTATGTAACCATAACAAGAACAACTAAAAAAAGGTCGATCTCAAAATTTGCCGGAATTATTAATCACTATTATGAAAATCACCCGAACGCTATATTTGAATTCATAAGATACATACCAATTGGATTATTATCATAGAGTGATGAAATGTGCCTTTAGAATACATAATAAAATTTCTTAATTCGCACGATTTAAATTACGAATACTATTATAATTTTGTTAAATAGCACTAAAAAATTAAATGCTATCTACGTTTTTATTTATTTATAAAACTACTGTACTATTTACTACATTGGTTTTCATTTAGACTATGCAATAGGACCTAAGCCTTATTAAAAAATTGCTCATTTTTTAACAAAAGTGCATTAAAAATACATTTACACATCACAAATTGGCGTTTGAAACAGACATACACTGGAAGCTGGAACACAATCCTTAAATCAAATTTTAAGGATATTTTGTAATAAGTTCCACGTTAATTATAATTTAATATCTATTCTACTATTCTTAAAATATACATAATAATATTAGTGGAACAAACATACGTCTACGTTCAAACCTACGAATGTGAACAAAAAATTAATCTGTAAAAATATTAGGCTAAATTGTTTAGAACAGGGGTGGCCAACCAGGGGAGGTCGCGATCGACCGGTCGATCATGACCATTAGATCAGTCGATCCTGGCAAGACAAAAAATATAAAGCAACGTAATCACCAATTGCTGCACGCATCATCTTCATCTGGTATCATTTGTTAACGACCATTAGGTACGTCACATTATTTATGCTCTCTTCTACACAACAGTTCTCTTTTATATAATTTCAGGTGTATATTAATATTTTTAATAAAAGAAACATTGCTGCTGTTGCTGGTAACAGATGGCCGGACCAGATACGGTCCACGTTGCTATCCACAAAGCCGAGGATAGGCAGGAATGGCGCAGGATAATACAGGAGAAAGTTTTTAGAGAGGCCACAACCCTCAGCATTGAGGATTATTGACGCAAGGAGGAGGAATAAAAGAAAATATACTACTTATTTGTATACTGAACTACATTGTTTCGTTAAATTTCAAATGTCATTGGTAGATCGCAGGGTGTTTCGTCAGTAGACAGTAGATCTTAGTTCTGGTAATCAAGTAGGCCACCCCTGGTCTAGAATTACAAAAAGAGTTGTTTTACGAAACGCAATGGCCGTTCGCGGGATAGCAGCGGTCTGGGTTGTAAGTGGTTTGGTACGTCTTGACTTGTTCCGGCACACGGAATCATCTTCAAAGGCCTCTTAGAAGACGAAGCCCCACACCTTTGGCAGTGATCCCGCCGAACGCCCAACGGTCTCTGCCACCACCACATGCCGTCCGCATAAACTCTGTGGCCGTCCTCATCAAGGCCCGTACTGTCGTTTCCTATATAACTATCGTATTTATCGTACCCTGATCTAACGTATGTTGGGGAGCTGCCATTGTTGTACTTCGACCAATTCCTTTCCGACCAAGTCGATTCGCTGTCGCATGGTGTGACTGGTGCGCTTTGAATCATTTTCGGCGGGTGGTAGAACTTCGACTCGTCTGTAAGGGATCCTCGCTTCTGGAAATTTAAATTAGGTATGTAACGGTAGATGCCCGAGGGTATTTGTTGGATGATAGTATCTATACACTTTGAGAAGGCAGCACGACATGAGAACCCTCTTGTCGTGGCCGTTGGAAACTACATACCCGATCCTGTAGACCGAATAGTAAACACAAGCCTTGGCAAGAGCAGTGTTTCGCAGAATCTACCACCGGATCAGAAACCTTCAAGATATCTTATTTCGCAATAAGATATTCGTTCTGCATTAAACGAGTATATTAACAATGACGTATCAATCAGTGCTTGTTCTAAATAACTTTTACTTGACAGCAAAGTAAAAAATAGATATTCTGTAATGTAACATAACATATCAATATTGACAACGCCTAGATTGAGAACATTCCTATGCTTTACCGAATGGTACGAAAGTAAATTGAAATTTTGCATTATTTCACTTTTAAGGTTCGGACTATTTTGATAGACCACTGCAAATTTTCATAATACCACACCGTAATATACCTGCTGTATCTTTTTCAGAATTTCTGTAGATAAAACGTGTGTCTAGAAGAGATTGCTTTTAGTGGTAAGACCGCTTATTGTAGGTACCTGGCTTTTGGCTATTTTGAAATCTTATTTGTGTTTTGGTGTGCAATAAAGTATATTCTCTTTCTCCTCTCTCTCTCTCTTTTTATTTGAAAACTGTGTAATCCAAACACGTAAATATTACGAATGAAAAACAAAAAATATAAATATATATACATTTATTAAATTAGATGGAAAAACGAACTCAACTTATTTAAACATATAAGAAATATTAAACTAAAAGAGATGCTACTGAAATTTATTTGACAACAAAATTAAATGTAAGTATATTATTCATTACTTTGTAAAAATACATCTATTAAACGCAGTCACGCTAAATAATTGATATTCAAGCTAATACGGTTGATGAACTGCTTCGGTTATTACCACAAGGCGACCTCGTAAAGGTCATGAAAATAATAGCAAAACAAATTGAAAATGAGTTCGCCAAATATAAACCATGAATTACATTAGTTTGCATGACTTTTTGTTGGAGCTATTGTTATTATTGTGAATTTTAACGATTCCTTGAAATAGCTTGTTTATTCGAGCAGACTATTATTTTAGAACAGCGTTGAAGATTAGGTAATTTGGTTACGTTTTTATTTTTAATTTTGTATTTGTCTTATTATCAATTAGGTGTTAATGATTTTATTTATAATATATAAATAACAATATATAGTTATGGTAAGTATAAGTATAATTATAAGTATTAATTATAATTATAAGTCCTATAGGTTAGGGTAGTTTTGTTTTAATTTTATTCCGAAATTGTTTTTGTTGTTTTTATTTTGTTTTTGTATTCTATGTGAAGTGTTATTTTTAATGTAATATGGATGTAATATCTGAAGTAAACGAGATAAATAAATAAAAGAAGTTTTAAAAGGAACGATTCCGTTAATTTAATACTAGATGGACCCTAAGCTCATCTATCCGTCATACAGTAATTGAAAAACTTTGCAAATTTATTCCAGTCGAGGGTAGATAAGCGGGCTGTTCATCTAATTACATCTGACTAACACATGTGGATAATAGAATTTGGTAACAGAAAAACCAAAGTTTATAGTTCAGTAGTTCATCGTGGTCTAAATTCTAAAGAATAAAACGTCTGGTGTACTCGTAGCGACCGATGCGACACCCACTAAGTCTCTCGCCGGATCTTAAGACTAAGTGGTTCGGGATACCGATCCGGTGGTAGATTCTGCGAAGCACTGCTGCAGAGCTAGTGTTAGCAAATTCACTTAGATTGCGCCCGTGAGCTCATCTACCAGTCCGAGCGTAGCTGAAATAGCTTCTAAGGCTACCCGCGAATAGGTAGGGAACTAAAGATATGACGACGTTGGTGTTTAAAGTCCCTTAGACAATTACAAATTTTGGTAAAGAAATACGTCCATGCCTCATGTTCACGAATCATCTCCACGATGAAGAATAGCATTGAATAATAAAAATCAACCCCAAAAAAAAAAATATACGTAATTACAATACACTACTTGAGACATAGATATCAAGTCTTAAGGGTGGCGGTATTTACTGTATATAGGGTTAGTTAATAGTCAATTATATACGGTTGCAAATTGTATTCACCCATATTTTGGTGTTTCATCCCCAAGGCGACAATTTTTAAATAAATAATTAAAATACCTCAAAAAAATCAAATCTTTAAAAAATGTAACTCGTAACATTTTTAAATAATCGCATCGGCTATATTTTATTACGTCAAATGCAATCTTTCTCAGATGCAGATATAGATACAGTCAATACAATACAACGTGTAATAATTAAGAAAAAATATTAGGTTTTAAAAATTATACATGCCTTCATTAAATCGAAGTTGGGCAGCCTGAAGCGTCACACCTCCTGAAGAAATTTAATTGGGCATACTCCCTGGCGATTGTCGCCAGATCTGATCATCACCATTCCGTCCACTTCGTCACCTACTTGGATCACGATTTGGTCACGGAGCAGCATCAGTCCATTGTCTCCGTCCGACACCTGAAGTTTGGAGTTGTCGGCACAAAGTTAATGTTTAATCTAATCTTTTAAAAAGAATGCATGATGTTTACATGGCACCTTTTTTCAAATGAACTAGGACTGGTACAACTGTTGTTGGCACTCCAAGAAAGGTTTATACTATTGTACTATTAATCTACGGTAGATGGCGTGCGAATCGTATCAAGAAGTGGGTTTATGTTGTCTATAAGCGATAGTCTGATGGTAGGGTGTATCATAAGCCCGCATGGATATGTACTTCAATATTTTCATGTCTCTGTGTGGATATGTATAAACAGATTTTTATTTATTGTTAGCTTAGGGTGGTCGGGCTCACGGTTCACTTGGTGTTAAATGGTTCCACGAGTCCATGGACATCAACAACGTATATACCACTACCCACTTTGAGATATGAGTTCTAAGCCTCAGTTTTACAGTACAACGGGTACTCCACCCTTCAAACAAAGACGTATGCTTGCGACTGTTTCACGGCAGAAATAGACAGGCTGGTGGTACCTACTCTGCGGGCTCACAGGAAACCCTCCTTAAACAAATTATAATTAAGGTTGATTCTTCACCGTGGAAGTTATACGTGAACATTTGTTAAGTACATATTTCATTAGAAAAATCGGTACCTACCCGCGAAATTTGAATCGATACAAAGGCACTGGGCGTTTTAGGTTAGGTCACGACAACTTCATTCCAACGATCACTGTGGATCACTGTGGAGTGGCTTCGATAAAAACTTAACATTAAGTAGATACTGATAAAAAAGGAACAATGGCTATTAAACAAATACTGCTTGCTATAAGCCAAACGTCTGAGGAATTATTTGAGATGATTCCATCATCTCGTTTTTACTATCGCAACGCCCGCCACCGGAGTAGAGTTGCGTTCATCCACAGTACGTTTCCAGAGACCTTTTTTGCCACGTACCATCAGGCTTTGGAATGAGCTCCCCTCCACGGTGTTTCCCGAGCGCTATTACTTTTCCTTCTTCAAACAAGGCTTGTGGAGAGTACTCAACGGTAGGCAGCGGCTTGGCTCTGCCCCTGGCATTGCTGAAGTCCATGAGCGACGGTAACCACTCACCATCAGGTGGGCCGTATGCACGTCTGCTTACAAGGGCAATAAAAAAAAATACGTGGGTAAATTATTTTAGTTAAAAAAATGGAAGAAACGACGAGTGCAATCTTCTGTTAAAAACAAAACTGTTATCAAATTATAATATCAATACTACATCCTATAGTGTAAAATGATTTAGTTGATTAATTATTCAGATAACGTAGAAAAAACTATGCAATAATTGCAAAACGGATAGAATTTTCTTTTTCAAGCAGAATTAACATAAGAAAAAAAAGAGAACTTTATGAATTCATTTATTCGACTTGAATGTTGGTATAAAAACAAACCTGCAGATTATGGGTGACTTGTAGAGGTCTTTCACCGGCTTGCAATTTTGTGCAGTATTTAGATGGAAAATATCCAATCTTTCCCAAGCATTTTCCCTTCCACCAGTCAGGGTCGGAGGTGTCGATGACGGTCACTTTGTAACCAGCTTTAAGATCTAATTCATCAGCATGGCGAGACTTGAAGTTGTATAGAATCACATACAGATTCGTTGGAAGAAGACGTTGATGTTTCTGGAAAAGTTGTTTTAACATACGCGATAAGTAGCGGCTTGGCTGGCAATACTGATGAATAACAGTGGCGGTTACCACTGAAAATTAACAGTCCGTCAATTCCGACGCAGTCCAGGCGCAATAAAAATATTTTATGCAAGTTATTTTCATGATTAAGTTTTTTTTGGGGAATGACAAGATAAATATTCGTCGGGAATTATGAGGCACACGGGCATGAACGGCACGGCAGTCTCTGTTCCTGCCGTAAGGCAGACATATACGTCATTACGGATCCTCCTGATCCATTAACGGTGCTTTTAGGTACCACATGCACCGGTCAAAGTCCTCGTCGAACCCGTCGCTTGTTAGAATAGAATAGCGAATTAACCCACAGAAACGGCCCACTGAGTTTCTCACCGGATCTTCTCAGTGGGTCGCGTTTCCGATCCGGTGGAGGATTCTGCGAAGCACTGCTCTTGCTAAGGCCAGTGTTAGCACCACTCCCATTTGAGCCCCATGAGCTCACCTACATGTTAGGGCGAAACTGAAATAGCCTCTCAAGGCTATCAGAATAGGTAGGATTAAAAAAAAAGGCAGACATGCGTTTCGTTTTGAAAGAAAACCGTTACACAGTACAATTTACAATGTCACGTGACGGTTGCGTGNGATTCTGCGAAGCACTGCTCTTGCTAAGGCCAGTGTTAGCACCACTCCCATTTGAGCCCCATGAGCTCACCTACATGTTAGGGCGAAACTGAAATAGCCTCTCAAGGCTATCAGAATAGGTAGGATTAAAAAAAAAGGCAGACATGCGTTTCGTTTTGAAAGAAAACCGTTACACAGTACAATTTACAATGTCACGTGACGGTTGCGTGAACGTTTGAATGTCTATGTGTCGTGTCGAATTTTTCGATGTATCTCAGATTTTTTTCCCCCAAGATTTGTAAATTACATATTTTGTGTTTCAACCTTCGGTTTTAAAGTTGACGGAATTCACGTTGAGGTATCTATATCGGCAACAGCTTACGTCTACGTATGTCGTGAATGCATCACTAAATCTACGACAATATATATATTTTTAATAAGCTTTCTCTTTTTTTACTTTTTGTTAGAAAATAGTTTATGACATAAAAAATATATTTGAAATTAATACTTTTCGTTTCGAAACTCAGCACGTTGAAATTGCACTGGAAAATAACCCATCATTCCAATTCCCGAGCCACCGAGAAGTGACTGTAAAAGTATTTTCTTGAATTATCCACTTCAGTTAGCAAATCGGTGAACTGGATATTTTGAAATTACAAATAGATAACTTTTAAATCGAGTATGTCATTCGAGCTCCCGCTTCGGAGCGCTAACACCTCAAATGCCTCACGTAATTGATTTTTTTGCTTACACCTTTAGCTTCTCACGAATTTCAGAGTTGAATATTTTATTATATTTTTCGTAAGTATTCGAAGTGTTATTTTCTTAATAAAAGCTACAGTAACAGATATTTTCGGTGAAATCTGTACTCCTTTTTTAAATATCATAGCGACAGCTTATTAAACCGTAAACTGAATAGTTAATTGCCCTTTCTTCATCTTCATCAACAAGTGTCTTGATTAAAATAATATCTACACTAATTATAGTAATTCCCCTGCTATTAACCAGTCGTTTATAAAGTTTTAGTAAAATCATATACACGTCAATATCTGTCGTGGCTTGTGCCACACATAATGTTCCAATTGTTCGCGCTCTTTGAATAACTCGTATCTCGTATGTCGTATCACTCTTGTCAGAGCGGTCGTGGTCGTCATCCAGCATCATTGTTGTGTGCAGATGTTATGCGCCTCACGAGCAATCGCCACTCCTCCCGGTTTGTGGTGAGCCTGGTACACTCATGCAAACAGCCGCCAACTGCCGACTTGATCTGGTCGGTCCATCGCATGGGCACCCTTCCACGCGGTCTGGTGCCTTCTACTTTGCCCTGAACGACAAGGCGCTCTATGGACAAGTAGCAGTAATCTACAAATAACGAAATAATAAAAACAAACTCACGCTCTGTTGTTTAACTGGCGAAGGGCACGGACTTGCGCTGTTAGAAGACAGGCTTTTGTCCGGTTCGTCTGGCAATTCAACGCTGCTCATGCGACCTCCACGTGTATTCAATAGCTTCCTGCTATGTACCGGCGATGATGGAGCTACGACATTTTAATCGATATTCATTAATGCTGAAAATTTAAAAACAAACATGCACATGCAAATTTTCCGATAGCAACACAAACTAATTTATTTTTGGATAGCAATAAAAATTAATTAAACACACAAATGTATTTCAATTAGGTTATACGCTGGGTTATATATTGGGTTGTTACTATATTTGAGACTTTAGAACTTATATCTCAAGGTGGGTGGCGCATTTACGTTGTAGATGTCTATGGGCTCCAGTAACCACTTAACACCAAGTGGGCTGTGAGCTCGTCCACCCATCTAAACAATAAAAAAAAAAAACGCATGTAAACATTAGTAATTAAATTTTTTTTAGATAAAATATATCTTTCATCACAGTTTACTGTTCTCTGTACTTGAGAAATTATTCTCGCAAACATTTTTTTTTGTTACTAAATAACACAGGAAAACAATGTAGTACCGGTTACTAGGTTTCATCAAATTAATTAAAAACAAATAAAGCAAGCTTACTGAAGACAGGCTTGGAATAACAGACCGTTTTGCTGGTCTATCTGTACGTTTCACAGAAGGCGGAAATGAATATTACATCACTGTTTTCCTGTTTTAGATTAATGACAATACGGAACGTACATGAACACGTGTATCTATGAACGAGGTGGTTACTTATTCTAGGAAAGCCATATCTCATGCAATTTGCTCTGCAGTAACCTAGAAAAATAAAACAAAACATAAAACTCATGCAAAAAAATAATACTTACGTCATAAACGCATTCAAAATAATACATTCGTAACAGATTTTTTTCTATCAGAATTCTCACCGTTGAAAGTTTTAAGAGTCTAAAGTGCCTATACACGATCTGCATTGAAATATTAGAATAATGTCACCCATGTTTAATGTCAGCATTTTATAACTTTAAAAGAATTCGGAAATTAATCAAACAAGGAAACATCAAAAAGAAAGTGTCTGACAGTAGGCCGGTAAGTACCCGCCTATGTGCTAAAACAATACAATAAATTTCAAAACACACAAAAGCTAAGCCGAAGGGATTTTCTCTCTGGTAAACATCGCTTGTGCCCACAAAACTGCTCGACATCAAATACCCAAGTCCAAATAACGCTATTGTTATTAATCTGTTTTTAAGGTTACAAAAGAAAAAATAGACTGTTGTGCGGTATGTTGATTCTCATAATAATATTCTGCGAAGAAAGGTCAGTCACGAACTTCCAACATTTTTGATGTGCTTAATTCACCATTGTACACGTCTGAACGTCGGAAATAAATCAATGATCGCGTCGCTGTTTGGGAGTTTGTGTTGATGTCCTTTCAATTCGATGTTTGAAGATTGAGTAAGTCATATAGCATTATTTTGTGGACTCGGGTAGTTTTATTACTGTATGTATTCGTACATAGGACACGGCTGCCCTGCGAGGGCTGTTGGTCTCTTGCTGGTCGACGCCTCAGCTCTCCACACTCTGGCGAGTCCAACGACAAGCTCTTCATCCTAAGGTTCAACTTTTGACGTCTCGGCGAATGCGGTGCTATAACATTTGACTCAATGTGAGCATGAGAACTTACCTAGATTACTATAATTCTTCAATTTGAGTGTTAAGGCTTATTCAATATTGAAATAGTATATTTTTTGTGTGTAAAAGTGTTAAATTTGTTACTTAACAATATGTTGTCATATTTACGATTCGCTAGTTAGAGGTAATTAAATAGATTTTCATGTGAGATTCATTTGAATGTACAACCTATTACGAAAAAAAACTCATTTACTAAAATTCATTTCATCAAAGCTAACGCTAAATGTATGTTAGTACCTATATTGAAGACAAACAAAGTTCACTATGTTAAAAAATATTATATTATTGTAAGTAGGCAAACAGTTTCCACCGCAATAGGGCTACATATAAAATTAAAATAATAGTTTATGTACAAGAACTACGACGAAAAAGTGCGAAAGCAGTGCAAATAAAAATATTAATAAATTTTAGTTAGAATAAGATACAGGATAGAAAAAGATGAAGTGTATAGAAAAAAATCCTATCAGAAATACGTGTGTGACTCCTCGCATTCTCGAACAATTGAATTTGGTAATTATCGATGATAGCTACTGCGATATGAATTCTATGTTTCAGATGCAGCCTGTGATCAGTAATTTTAGATACAGTAAGACATGATTTCGTCTTATACATGACATTTTTCATTACTTTCATAATTGCTAACGTGTGGAGTTCTACGAGGGTCGTTTATTATGAAGACATTATTGGTACCAGGTAAGGGACTGGTGCGGTCAGCTTGCCTCAACATTTGGGCACTCTTCGAGTTCTTCATCGTACCTGTGTGGACAAGTAAACAGGAAACTAATCTGTAATTGTTTTGATACTATCACTAAATAGCCCCGAGGTAATGCCCTGAAATTAATGAGAGAGAAAAAAAAATAGATAACGCCATAAAGTGAACAAACAAAACGAAACAAACAGAAACGTCTTCGATAGTCGATTTATGAGAGTTCTAATTTGGTGTTGGATAACAATATTTTCCGTGGCGCGTTTTGTTTTAAGTATTAAGAGATTCGTGAAACGTGATACGATAGTTGCTGAGTTCTGGGTTGAGAAGGCTGCGGGTAATTTGGTGCAAGTGAAGAGGAATAACGAGTGTCTGTTCGTATATCATCGCCAAAAACGACATGCAGTTAGGGGCACGCTCGGAAAGCCATGCATCACTTACATCAAAACGCTCTCTCGGAGGATGTAATACGCGAATAATTAAAAATCAGTGCTAAATGGTAATCAGAAAAAAAAAGTTGCTCAGATTTAACTTTTATTACAATAACATTTTACATATCACAGTACGCGGGGCGCTTCGGGGTAAATTTTATAAAAGTATAAACAAGACATCCGTGAAGCGGTTCTCTAGAACGAATTACACTACCGCGTTGCGTGCACTGCCCTGTCATGGGCGGGACTCATTTAATGACATCGTTCCCGACGGACCGAATTATATATTTATCATTTTTTCTTGCGAACGCTTGCTGTGGACTTGAGAATTGAAGGTGGTGGATCACCATTTTCGTTAACGAAACATAAGGGCTGTCCGAAAGGTCTCGTTGTCGTCTGCTCCGATTCTGCAAAAATAATGTGCGAACAAAACAAAATAAATGAAATGAATAAAAAAAAATGAAACAAAAACAGTAACGTACAGCACTTCAACGAAAGAATGTATTTAAGTATGATTGGGTTCGGGAAGTTCGATCGCGGTTGTCCATTCCTGTGACAGAACCTTTAGGCAGGATAGGTTCAAGCATCTAAGGTTTTTCCGAGCTTCGTCTAGTTCAATCCTATATTCTAAACTAACACTGCAATCGCGAAACTGAACATAAAATAACATAAAATACTGAACACACAAAGTGACACAAACAAAAACGTTGCACCGTGACCCAGCAGGAGGACTGGACAAACAAAGCCGTGAGACGACTAGAGCGATGCGCTACGGCAGCCGTGGGCGCGTACTTTCCGGTAGAGAAATTGATCGGTGTTGAGGAGAGCCGCGACGAGACCGTGAGCCCCACATCGATAAACTCTTGACTCCGGCGAAGAGCCTCCGCCGCACGCCGCCGTCAGGCCGCATCGCCGCGCCTACCGACAAGCAGCGCTCAGTACCGACCGCACCCCGCCCCCGCCCTGCGCCCGCGACTATACGATGCGTGCAAAAAACAATTCGACACTACTGAAAACGAGTGATTTGAGTAAAGCTGCCGGACGGCCGTCACGCGCCTCGACCGAGCGAAGGACGGCGCGGCGGCCGGCGGCCTACGGCGCGACTCGAGCGAGAAGCGATCGAGCTCGGGTGCGGCGCCAGACCTGAGCTGGAAGAGAGAGGCTGGGGTGCGACAGCCAGTCCGGCGGACGGCCTCGCCGGCGACCGCGCCGCGGGACACTCCTCCGGCGCCGACACGCGCACTACGGGCCCCCCGCCGCCCGGCTTCGATATTTCGTTGGCGCGCTTCAGAACTTGGTAGGTCTGATCCACTTCCTCCTCTGAGTATCGAAATTCGATTAGATCAGGATCGCGATTACGAATGTGGTCACCTAGTACATGTATGGCGAATATGTTTCGTTCGTTAGATCTATAATATTGCTTATGATACATTTACCCAGAATCTAAAGTGGCTAGACTGAATTAGTTACTGTTAAACAGATTTGGTAAATCGTAAAGTAATCAATACAATGTTTTAGTTCTAACAAGGCGAGGTTGTGTACACGAGTTGCGCTAATGGTGTTTGCAGCCGTTAGTGANACCTAGTACATGTATGGCGAATATGTTTCGTTCGTTAGATCTATAATATTGCTTATGATACATTTACCCAGAATCTAAAGTGGCTAGACTGAATTAGTTACTGTTAAACAGATTTGGTAAATCGTAAAGTAATCAATACAATGTTTTAGTTCTAACAAGGCGAGGTTGTGTACACGAGTTGCGCTAATGGTGTTTGCAGCCGTTAGTGAGTGAGGTTTTGTACAATTATCAAGTTTGTGGGGTATCACTTTTAGTACAATGGTTACAATGTTAGTATAGTCGAACGCTTCGGGAGGTTGCACGGGGTCACTCTGGACTCATACTGTACCCTCGTCACAGAAGCTATCAAAATCATCATCGAACTCGACAGATTTCTTGAATGAAATCTTGGTGAGTCTCTATCCTGGCAGCCACCCGTCTTCCGCTCCTGGACAACGTGAATTAAGCATCTGATTGTGTTAGCTGTAGCTCGTGTGTATTAGTATGAAATTGAATTGTTAATGATGGCCTTAAAGGCAAATGTAAGATTGTATGGTATAATATTTTAAAGTGATAGTTTTGTTTTCAGTAAATTTGAAGTTTTCATGATTTTTTTTTTTACCTTGGGTCTTAGAATCCTTATCAGACGATAGTGTGTTATTTAAATGAAATGTACATAATGAGGATAAAACTTACCACGACTTCGGTTTGCATAATTATCAGTAAAAACGAACGAAAAGTATTCAATGATTAATTTTAGTTTCTATTTTATATTGACTTTCAACATCTCGGTTCAAATATTTACACCTAATGATAGTCGAAAATTTACCTCAAGTATGTAGCGAGTGTTGTTTGATACAAATATGTATTAATAATTATGGTCAATGAGGCTTACTTTCATCTTCGAATGCAGTCTCTTGAACTCTGTGAGACTCGATTTCGGAAGTGCTTTTCTGTCTGCGCAAGAGCCGGGACTTTGTTTGGCATTTGCCTACTTGTGGCATACAATCTGTATGAACGTTCATTTTGCATAAACGGCAGCGGAGACCTTGTCTGGTGTGACCTAAGAATAATTAAATTAATTGTAAGCCGCCTATTGTTTTCTCATAAGTCGTTTGTTAACACGAATGTATTGAAGTCGTCATGGCCTAAAGGATAAGACGTCCGCTGCATTCGTATCTAGCGATGCAACGGTGTTCGAATCCCGCAGGCGGGTACCAATTTTTCTAATGAAATACGACTTATAAAATGTTCACGATTGACTTCCACGGTGAAGGAATAACGTCGTGTAATAAAAATCAAAAACTCGCAAAAATTACGCGTAATTACGGGTGGTAGGACCTCTTGTGAGTCGGCACGGGTAGGTCCGCACCACCCCGACTATTTCTGCCGTGAAGCCGTAATGCGTTTCGGTTTGAAGGGTGGGGTAGTCGGTGTAACTATACTGAGACCTTAGAAATTTAGAAATTATATCTCAAGGTGGGTAGCGCATTTACGTTTTAGATGTCTATAGGCTCCACTTAGCAGCAGGTGGGCTGTGAGCTCCACCCATCTAAACAATAAAAGAATTAAAAAAACTGGAGAAAAAAGGCAATGAAGTAAAATGTGATGCTCAACGTTTAAATAGTTCTGAAATAACTCGTTACGAACAGATTGTCGAGCTTCGAACAATGAACGAGCAGCCGCTGACAAATTTTAATTCGATTAAATTCGCGCATAAGTTCGCGCGCGTCGGCATCAATCAAAGTCTTGTTTTGAAAACTGGAGTGGCAGGAATTGTTTAACTACTCAGTGACCTAAAACTGTTGGCGGTTAATGCACAGTGAAGACTTAAGATCGGAAAATTTTACAACCTCTTTCATAATTATCGCTAAATTCGTTAAAAAGCACCGGAAATTAATAGAACAGTCGTGATTTGACTTGTAATAAATATTTTGTTACTTTTACGTACGTATTCTTACAAACGTGCTGTGGGTTTCCAAAATAAATCTTAGTGTACAATATTTGTCCTTTTAAATTAATTTGAAGACGAATGAGAAATATACAACGTAAATAGGACTCTTGAACTTTTATCAAAAACCACGAAGGCATGATATCATTATTTTTGACAATAATACTGTAATAAGTTACTAAAATAAAACACAGGACAAGTTTTTCATTGTATTCATAATTTGGCTTACACACCCAAAATCTTTGTAATTTAGTGATTGTCTTACTTGACTCAATGAGATTTTTATTCAAATCATTGTAATTTATGACGAATATATTATTGACACCTCTCAGGTTTTTTTTAATTTTTATTATTTGATGAATCTCTCTTTAAACTGAGGTATCAAATAAACTAAGCCTGTTCAACGTTTTCTTTAGGCGTTGACATTACTTTAAAGGAATATTTATAAAAAACAATAATATTGAATTTTAAAGAAATATCTCTTAAACTGCTCTTAAAAAGACAGCGTCACTCGGGATGATGTTGAAGCCTTTAAGGATTCTAACGAGGCCTCGCGTACCTGAATCTGTTGAGGTATCTAAAAGTCACGGTGGAAAGAAACTCGCATACATAAGCCCTGGAAACATTACAGTATTTTTTCGGGCCGTCCAACATATTCTAATGTGAACGCGATCGCCCAAGTCGAGATGTAAATTGAAAACATGATTATATTGTAATAACGACTACCTGCTACCCCAGCCACTCAAAAACAGGCACTCATTAATGCTGCTTAAGGATTTTAGGAATCAATAGACAAGATGGGTGTATTGCCTGTATATTACTTTTTTTTATTGCCCTTGTAGGCATGTGTACCTGTACAGGTTTGAAAATTAAAATACGGCCTACCCTCACTAAAACAAGTTGAACACGTAATTTTTAAGCATACGGGTGTGAAGAAACCACGTCCGTAATTAAACCACGGAATTAACTACTAGTTGTAGTAAATGAAAAATCAAAACTTTTAATCTCTATGTATAAAAATGAATTGCTGTTCGTTAGTCTCGCTAAAACTCGAGAACGGCTGGACAGATTTGGCTAATTTTGGTGTTGAATTATTCGTGAAAGTCCAGGGAAGGTTTAAAAGGTAGATAAATATGAAAATGCTCAGAATTGAATAAAAATATCATAATTTTTTTCCTTTGATGTGTGGGGACACATCAAAGTGGACACACAAAATCGGACGGATTATTTTTGATTTATAGATTGAGGCACTACGAAGTCTGCCGGGTCAGCTAGTTATAAATAAATAATAAAATAATAAATTCTGTGATATGCCAGTGCATATCTTAGTTTTCACAAAAATCAGTAGGCATATTATTTTGTATAGTCACTGTAACGCAGTGAATTCATATAATTAAAGAATTCTTGTCATTCTTAGTAGGATTAGTAATGAAGAAGTTGTTTTTTGTACGTTTACGTGTTGTTGATATTTGTAGTTTTATTTGTTCGTTTTGTTGAAATTTGATACGTCAGAAAATTGCCTCGAGAATATGCGATGAAGGGTAATAGAGATATGGCACGTGCTTAGTTGATTTTGCTACGACATTATAATATCGATTGCGCGGGCTGTACCACCACAAACACGAACACAGCCCCAGTAGTATTTGTTTTGTGATCAAATTATGAATTTAACAATATTCTATAGCTTTATCAAGATATATTCATCTTAGCGTGTCAATATGTACTTGATTTTTTATAAATGTTGTTAAATGTTTTTGTAAAAATTGTAAATGTTTTGACTAAGAAAGCTATTTTGGTTTTTATTAATTATTGATGGCAAGACTTATTGAGATTCTACCACCATTCTGCCGCGAAGTAAAAATTCTTTTTCGTTTGAAGCATGGGAAATTCAAAAGCTGTTTACTGTAAATATTGATAACTGTGATGGTTTTCTAGCAAATATTTTGTAGAATAAATGGAAAGATCGGTTTTAGAATCTTATTAACTGCATCATCTAAGTTTTTTTTTTTATGATTGATGGATTACTGGTGGCCCGGAGGCCTTTCCAGTTTCACCAGGACAGGTGGGCGAGCAAAGGCTCAGCCAGAAGGGGTGGGNAACTGTGATGGTTTTCTAGCAAATATTTTGTAGAATAAATGGAAAGATCGGTTTTAGAATCTTATTAACTGCATCATCTAAGTTTTTTTTTTTATGATTGATGGATTACTGGTGGCCCGGAGGCCTTTCCAGTTTCACCAGGACAGGTGGGCGAGCAAAGGCTCAGCCAGAAGGGGTGGGATTTGCTAACAGCCACCCAAGCACCTCCGAAGGAGACCTGAAGCTCAAGAGCAGCTTCGCGAATGAATCTACTACCGGATCGGAATCGCGACCCGCTGAGAAGATCCGGCGAGAAACTCAGCGACCTGATTCATGGGTTAGGTTGCACGGCGAACTCTTTGTCGAGTTTGACGAGTACGGTTACCGGGGTCCCTAAGCCTGCTCCTAGTGTTAGAGCTGAAGGCGTCTAATGCAAAGGTTATTGGATCTGATGGATCCGTAAGGACGTGTATCATCTAAGTAGCCTACTATAGTAAAGTATGAAAACCGCGTAATAAACTTGTACAATATTTAACTTTATTAATTTCATTTTATATCTTTAAAAAACATTGTAATTATGAATCCTCCGAAGAGCTGAAAACAGAAATAAAATAATCAGATTTGTACGCGATTAAGGACTTTATCTGGGGCTACCAAAGTAGTCTCTAATTAGAGATTTTAGAACAAAGACTTTTATGGGTACAATACTTTTTGTGGGTTTCTTACATGTAACACGAATCTTGAAATACTTACTTCAACTGATTCTAACATATAATTTGAAAAAACAAACTCACGATATGTTTATAAAATTGATCAATCGTTAAAATGCTTTTTCTATTGATATTTATTTTTCAATATTAGTAAAAAAAACTTGATTATTACGATTATGTATTTGACTTGAATGAAACAAGGACCTCTCACTCCTAATATTAAAATGTATCTCCGAGTGTATTTAAGATGTTGCCAAAGTTGGTAGATATTCGCGAAACAATAAGTATACGAATACTTAAATAGCCGAATCTTTATAACAAAGAAACCGACGCCTATTGGACTTCAAATACGACTTCTGGTATCATAGTCAAGATCCCCAACAAATTTATTAGTTGGGTGTGTTCATAATAACAACAATAGGTACTGAGCTTATGTCAAAAACTTCTTGTTATAAAAAATTTAGAATGTCCTAGCTGACCCGGCAGATTTCGTAGTGCCTCAACCGATAAATAAAAGACACATCAAGGGAACACATCAAAGGAAAAACAAAATTGTTTGTTTTTATATAATTCCGAGCTTTTTTATATTTTCTCACCTTTTAAGCCTTCCCTGGACTTCCACGAATAATTCAAGACCAAAATTAGCCAAATCGGTCCAGCCGTTTTCGAGTTTTAGCGAGACTAACGAACAGCAATTCATTTTTATATATAGAAATTACTTACCTCGTAGCACTTGTGAACATACATCGCAAGGTGTGATTTTTTTGTATGTATATTCTTGGAAATTGTGTGCCTCGGAATCTCCTGAACGCATAGATTCGCGCGCCGCACCATTTCTCCTACGAAATAAAATATTTTAATTACATAATTTTGTAGGTATGTAGTTTCTATATTGTTGCAAAACCTAACTACGGAACACAAAATAAATCGTCTTGTCGCATTAAAACTGTATAATCTCAAAACTTATTTAATTTTACACGAGAGTGTTTTAAAGGTTGATTGATGATTTTTTGTGTTTGATGATGAAAGGTTGATTGATGTTTTTAATATTAATCATTTTTGCAACATTTATTTTTTACCAGTTACATTATCTGTCTTTTAAAGTAAGATAAAATTATGTATTCATTTTGTTAATAGTAGTAAAATAATAGGTAAACGAAAAAAAAAATTAAATCTAAACTACGCTCTTTTGACAGTATTTACGAGAAAAATACCAAATGATTCCGCATATTAACTCAATTTCGAATATTTTAGGAAATCGTACACTTTTAATGCGAAAAGACGAAATGTGTATTTGCGTCATCCATAGAAATAAGGCAGACTACAAATGAGTCGTCTATTATCAAAGGTGGCAATCTGTACATTTGGACAAAAAAAATTTATTGATATGTCAATACAGATTTATTTGAATATAATCGTCTCCTTCAAAGAATACGGTTCAAAAGCTGCATTAAATAAAGGTTAATAGTTAACCTGTTATTTATCTAAGATGTCGTTCCGAAGAGTTTTGTGACTGCCAATGGAATACAAAGTCAATAATTCGTTTTTCTGATTTACCAATCATTGTCCAAAAGTCAGATTGCCGCCTTTGATAATAGTCGACTCAAATGAAGACATTTAGAATTCATCGATAAATTGATCGTATGTGGTTGCATGTGTAAAACACGACAGCGAAATTAATCGATGGCGTCCAAGGTTAAGGTGAGACGTCATTCACCAAGTCGGCGGTGGTAATCGTTTACCTACCAACATTAGCACAAAAGTAATCACAGGCCTTAATGGGCTTCGTTTAATTAACGTTCTTCTAGGAATGTCATGGACTGTCTCTAACAAAGAATTTTCACTTAATTAAAACCAACAACCAGAATACAAAGCGACATCAGCAGATTTTTAAGAAACGCGAACTTAATCGTAAGCGAGCGAGTGAGCGAATTTAATATAATTAAAGGGCATTTCGGGAACGTTGCCTTTGCCTTGAAGCTTGGTGTAGCGGAAATAATAAGCCGGTGAACATTAAAACTACTTAAAATATTGTGTGGTACAGAAACATGCTATATTTGAGTGTACTTGCTAAGTGAGAAAGGATGAGTAAGTAGTTTCAGGGGCATGTATCGAGGATAGTAGCACATTTATCAGTTCGTGTCACAAATCTCACACCTACAGGGCACAATTACCTCATCGCCATAACCGTTGACACAGCGTGGTACATTTGATTTTTTCTTAATGATGCAAAAAGAGAGAAANTGTGGTACAGAAACATGCTATATTTGAGTGTACTTGCTAAGTGAGAAAGGATGAGTAAGTAGTTTCAGGGGCATGTATCGAGGATAGTAGCACATTTATCAGTTCGTGTCACAAATCTCACACCTACAGGGCACAATTACCTCATCGCCATAACCGTTGACACAGCGTGGTACATTTGATTTTTTCTTAATGATGCAAAAAGAGAGAAACAACAACATGAACAAAACACCAAAATCGTGACAATTTATAAAATAGGCAAAGTATTGCAATTACATTCTGTGATGTATTGATTAGTGGATTTAAATTGAAATGAATAAAGTATATTCGAATCAACAACATAAGGCTTCACTAGTAGGTATGTACATTATTTAAATCCACCTGTCAAACATCGAGGTTATCACAGAGTACCAATAAATTTGATCAATATTGTAAGAGATTCAATTAGTACCAGTTGAATTTATTGCAATTATTATATTATATTCTTTGAGTTTATTTTGAATCTCTCACAAATAGGCACGTGATTAAAATGAATATCTTACAATGATACAAACACAGAAATGTACGTGTAAAACCTGTAAAGCAAAACATTATACACCTCATAATTTGAATTAATAGCGTGGCGTGAACTGAACTATATAGTTAAATATTGTGATACAAAGATACGCAAAGTACATTACGTCACTGAAAACGCAATTCGAAGACATATTATTATGTATATACAATTAAAATTAGCTTCCTTCTTGCTGGAATCACAATTTGACTGAAGGCACCAGTAGGCATCGTGATCGTCAGTCGCAACGTGAATACTTATACCCTAGGATATTCGAGCATAGTCTTAATCTCAGCCTTAGTCTTAATCTTTGTCCTGAAAGTCGTTCGTGAGCACGTGTTAAGTGTATATTTTCTTAGAATAAAATGACCTGCGTTATTTGAACTCCGTTATAATCACATCGTTTGATTCGAGCACACCGGACGTCTTATCTTTTAGACTACAATAACTTTGACGTCATTGTGGCGACTTTAACGATTCTGTAAACTTTACCTACTAGTGAATAAGGGTATTTTTTTGTAAAAGTTAGGCCGTAATCAAAACTGGCTACGTCGTAAATGTATACCGCATATAGCTTAGAGTTAGACTAGCTACATGGCTCAGTAGGACTATCCAATTTTGATTAAACTTGTATGCGCTGCAATGGAAACAGTGTTTGTCATGTGCAGGAGTCAAGTTGTATGGAATTTTGTAGTCGCAATTTCTCAAAGACAGCAGGATTTAAAATTCGGTATAAAATTGAAATCACTACATAGTATAAAACAAAGTCGCTTTCCCTGTCCCTATATCCCTATGTATGCTTCACTCTTTAAAACTACGCAACGGATTTTGATGCGGTTTTTTTAATAGATAGAGTGATTGAAGTGGAAGGTTTATATGTATAATAACATCCATTAAATAGTGGGGAAATCAATAATAAATTACAGTTTCCGAAGCGAAGCGAGGGCGGGTCGCTAGTTAAATATAAACCACGATTACGTCCGATTTTGAGACTGTATTAGTTGAGCCTGCAACTCATGATTCACGAGGGGAATTGTCGCTATTCGAGTCCATTGACATTACCTTGAGACGTGGTTTCAAACCGCAAAAGATTTGCTATACGGCTATCCTACCCTAAAAGCTGTTACGAGTGAATGCTAAACTAGAAAAATATGTAGGACGGTGGTATCCACAGTGTAGGTTAACATTATGTCCTATCGCTGAAAAAATTGGGAAAGTTGTGTGAAATAAGTAGTAAGAATTAGGGTAGTAGAAGTAAATTGAAGAGAAGATGTTGGATGGGTTAAGAAAATATGGTAGCAACAGCTAGCGGCTATTGCGACTCGTTCCTCTAATGAATAGTCAGACGTTTATCGGTGCAGAATCCTCTAAAACGTGGGACATCAAAGAGTTTCTGTAAAAATATTTTACGAAAAGTCAAATCTAGCGTACGGCTTCGTTTGTTTCGAGCAAATATGTTTAACTCTTGTATGCATCTCGTTATCTTCAGTTCAAAGACTATGCAGTGTGCAAGTTAAATCGTCTGATTTTGTTGAATACCTACCCTACCTATTGAATCTATATAACTATATTAATACGTGAAGCAAAATCGTTGTATCCCTTTTTACGAAAATTGCGCGGACGGAGAAGTATGAAATTTTCCACACTTATAGAGAATATAGAGAAGAAGTGCACAATGCTAATATTTTTTTTAAATTATGCATTTAATTAATAAAAAAAACATCACACATACTACCATGTATTTGACACAACTTATATACTCTTACATACACACATACTATTTGTTTACTGTCAAACTTTTGTTATTGCTTAGAGTCTGTGGTCAAATTGAGAATAGATTACTTAATATTGTTTATCATTAATTTTATTTGTATAGTGTAGGCTTGGCGAAATCTGTGATTAAAGAAATATAATAAATAGTCTTTGTCTCTTTGACAATAGAACCATAATGATGTTCAAACTTATAATTTCAGTTAATTATAGTCGAATTTGGACTACTGCGGGACCACTAGTGCCTTTTAAATATGCAATTTAATTCAATTTATATAGTAATTTATTAAGACTACATTGCTAGTTACAAATTATCCGACAATGTAATCGGATTTCCAGAAGCACTATTAAAAGAAGCTCTACATGATTTTGTGCAAGTTCTCGTTATAATAATCTTGTTTGTGTATTGCGTCTAATAGTTTTACATTATGTAATACGAAATTCGTTCTTGGCGTACTGTTTGTGTATAATACGCCAGTTTCAGATCTAGCTTCCTTTTGTTCGTGATTACAGACTATCTGGTTCATTCAATTTCGGCGACATGTCGATCGTTCAGACAGCACAACGCCTTTGCAATCTAGTCGATATTCGTGTACACACCTACAATGTCTCGTGTATATATATAAAGATATATTGATATTGCTTGTATTTGGAATTATTTTTGTCATTTGTTTTCGCTGTTTCGTATGTTACCATCACTCACGGTCAGCACGTATATGCATTTTTCTTCGATTTAGCTTTTGATATATATTTAAACAAAAATTTATGTATATATATGGGTCGCTAAGCCTTAGATTCGATTTTGATAAGACTTGGTTCAATTATTATTTGCTATTCAGGGAAGATCTCTGTAATAGTATGAACGTAAGATAGGGGCTACGTGAGTTCTTTCGAGCCATCGATATATATTTTTTTAAATTCATAACGCGTCCGGGTTTCAGTAGTTATTAATAACATTTATATAATTTGCTTATGGATTAAGGAAACATTGCTTAGAAAATAATTTTAATCACGGTTATGTAGGAATAATAGTTAAAGCGATTATAACAAGTTTTCCAAATATAGTTCCGGTAGAATCTTTTCTATGTTGAATGTTTCATGAAATTTCTATCCAGTCCCTTCAGCCGTTTTTGTGTTATTAATATTTATACATAGTTTCATATATAGCATAGATTCCAATAAACCCGTAAATGGTATAATTAGTTCAGTTAGCCAATACTAAGGTGAGTCATACCGCTTCTAGATTCCAGGGATTATGCGGGATATAGATATGCGGACCAATTCATCTTACGAGCTAAATCCTGTGGTCGACCTAAACGCCAGATTGACGTTATTTATGTTTACGTAAATTACAATATTACAATATCTACTTTACAATACAGATATTGATGTTTTGAAATAAAACCATTTCACGAATTAATTACGAATTTCTACTATTCGGGAAATCTGCAGTACACTGACATTACTTTATTTAGTGAGAACATTTGTTTACCTTTGTTTTACTTCTGTCTCGTATTTTCTGAAAATATATTTATTGTGTGCAACAAAACATCTACAATTATATTCTCTGTGCTAGTGTATTTTCGTGCCTATGTCGGAATTTTTTTTATCTTTCGTATCGGTAAATTATTGTATATATTATATAATACTATATATTACATTATTCTATTCGCGTTATCTGACTATATACGAATATTTTACTGTTTTTACTGATCTTTGCTTTCGAGATCTTTTTTTCTTAATTTTATTGAAGTGAAAACGAATTTCAATAATGCAGCGTTCTTAGCAAATACGTAAGCAGCTACTTTTCATTAGTTTTGAAGCAGTTCAAGCACCACTTCTTGAAAACCCAAGTACATATTTCGAAGAAAATACGAAGACTCTTAGAAACATTTAAAACTATTCATTAGAAAATAAAATTTGATTCATTTTATAGATATAAAAATCGAAAATGTATTTTGTTTTTTTTACTAATTGAGGTGTGTTTTTAAACAACTAAATTACAAAATCCATTAGTATGTATTATAAAAGAACGTAGAACAAAGGATGTTATCTGGCTAATTACTATTTTACTTAATCGCTCTGAATACACTATTTAAAAAGAGAAACATTTTCCATTAATACTTTTCAAAGTCGTGTAGGTAATCATAAATTAGTTAGAATTTAAATTTATGGTGATATTATGAGTAAAATTAGCAGCGATAATATTATACGATACTCACTTATCTGGCACGTGTGGCGGAGGTGCGCTAGGCGGCTTTAGGCTCCGAAAAGCCTTCAACCATTTGTTCTTCATACTGCCTGCCGAAGACGAAGATAATTTTCGATCTACCCCTGAAGCGCTGTCTGCTTTTGCCGCGAATAGGTCTCTCTGCGCAAAAAAAAAGGCCAATTGTAATAACTTAGAACATTGATTTATTATAAGCAATTAACTTCAAACCTTTTGCAAAGCGAAAGTAAAATTTAAAAACAAATCAGTCAATGATGACTTTGATCAGTACAAAAATCTATATAGTTATAGTTGTTCTATCACTGTTTCGTTAATATTTAGAATTGCGTGTTTTAAGTCCATTCATATTACACATGTGTACTTTCCCACTTACTGGTTATGGTAAAAATGGTTACAATTAAAGGGCATAACTACACATTTTTGGCAATTAGGTTATTCCATTAATTTTGTTTATGTAGATTGGAAACATACTCTTTCAATTATTTAATTAAAATATTTTTTGACGAAGCATGTTGCTGATAACTTTATTTCTGTAATCTGACGTAGCATGTTGCGGATAATAACATGTGCTTTTAGGTTAGGAATATTGTGTTCTTTTTTTTTATAATAAATAAATTAAAATATGCATGAATATAGATTACTTAACTAAACTTAAGATACGTATAATTTTGGCACCGGTTGGTTTAACCATCCTGCAAATTTCAGCCGCCAATAATTTGTGCATTAGACTCGACGAGGATAGGAAAATGATTACTACAAAACAATTAAAATTCCCAATTAATTTCTCAATGAGGCAATTGACATTCAAGTCAATGGGATCCGGTATCATCAGATGAGCTCAGAAGTATATCAGAAGTAAGGGAAAGTGGGGGATATACGAACACCTAAGGGAAAACTTAAATAAAACAATGGAATTTAATCACAGATTTTTGAATTTTTTTTTATTATAAAGTTTACTTATCTGTCTAACTTATTCACTAATCATCATTTATATTTTTTTAATAAACTGCAACAATATGAAAGAAAAACAAAACCCTTAGTGTTCGGCTTTGCCCGACATCAGTCGGGTAAATACGAACACCAAGTGGGGTGATTACGAACCAACATTATTAACGACATAGATCACATTTAAAACCCAACGATGTTGACTGTCCGTCAGTACAACTCTCGTGAGCCCATTTTTTGCACACATAGCACACAATCTAGTCTTCAACGGGAGGATCAATATATTTATTTCTACAAAAAATACAAAAGTAGTATTTATTTTCTTTTTCGCCTTTTTCTTTTTTTTTTCGTATTTTGACTAGAGTCACTAAAGTATTTTTTTATATTGTTCAAATTCTTTAATAATATTTCATACTTCTTGTTTGAAGGTGTTCTCTCATTACATTTCAGTCTTTTTATTTGGGTTCCTTTTTTGCCATCTTTCCGTTTTCTTCTTGATTTCTTACGTTTCCTGATCGTCTGTAAATAAAGGTTTTCATCCAACCATGGCTGTATTAACACTTCTTTCATTACATGGTCAAAATTAGTGGTTTTTGGAACATTATATGTTTCTGCTGCTTTACGCAGGGAGAGTTTTTGGTTTTAACATCGTCTATAGCCTTTTTGAGATCTTCTAAACTATACTTCAGTTCGGTCTTTCTTTTGTAAGTACAAGGTATCTGTAATAATATTTAAAAAAAAGTTGAACGGGGTACTAACAAACGGGAGTGGGGTAACGGCGAATGTTCGAGATTGCCCGACATGGAGTGTTCGTCTTTACCCCGCGGAATCGAAAATAATTAAAGGTCAAAAAACAATTTTGGTTAAATTTATTTTGCCTACTACATCATTATCATTTAGCGGAGTAATATGTGATTATTCCACTATGTAAAAGCTGAATTATTATTGTAGATAGAAATAAAGTTACATCAACTTGAATTTACCAAAAAATTACATCTAAAACATACAAAATATTAAAAAATGCATACCTTTTTAAGTACGTGTGTCCGCGTCTCCCGTGTTATTGACTGGCATCAGTGGTGGCCTGATCTCCGAAATGGCGGCAAATAAAATTAGGATATATCTTTCTAACATATTAGAACCATTGAATTCGGCTTTACCCAGCGTTCGCGTTTCCCCCACTTTCCCCTACCAATGTACAGTAAAAATGTGTGTTGCATTTATATTATCGTCTGTCAATATACGTTTCTTATAAATGAGAGTAGCAATATTCATTTTTATCGATATTTTATTAATTATCAAAATAGGTGCTCCTTTTATTAATTTGAGCTTGAAGGAAATCTCAGGGCAGTTGGACAAAGGAACTTTCCGCTCATCTGGTGTAGTAAGTGCTTACCAGAGCTAGAGATATAAATTAACCCATAGACACAGCCCACTGAGTTTCTCGCCGGATCTCAGTGGGTTGCGTTTGCGACCCGGTGGTGGATTCTGCGAAGCACTACACTTGCTAGGGCCAGTATTAGCAACACTCCTGGTTTGAGCCCCGTGAGCTCACCTACTCGTCCGGTTACGCTGACATAGCCTCTCAAGGCTAGGTAAGCTTAGGTATGAAAAAAAAGAAAAATTGGCAACGTAATTACTATCGCACAATAACATAAGCAATACCAGGAGTGCAGCCACTGGCTACTGTGAAGAACTCTTTACTGTCAAACTCTCAATCTTGTTTGAAGAAAATGGTTACCATAGCGCGCTGGGGAAAGAGACGAACGAAGGGATTGATTCTATGGATCGGTCGAGTGTAACTTCTTACCAAAATGTATTTAAAGTATGTATAGATAATGTTATAACGTCTTTTTCATCCGAATAACAAAAAATTAGATAGGTACTCACCTGCACGGAAAAAGATTCAACGAATTTCAAGAATCCACCCAAACACTGTGATGCAAATTAAGAAATTTGCATCCCTTTTCCAATGTTTGGACGTAACTTTTTTTTTATTTGGGTCATCAAAAGCTATGTCCCAAATGTAAACAGTGGCCTTATTCTAAAGCAGTTTTTGGTTTTTGTGTAAAAATATTGTAATTTTGCCTAGATAGAAAACTTTTTGTGTAAACATTCATATATTTTAACAGAACCAAGTTTATAAGTGAGTAAACAGTTATTTTTATTACGTAGAATTTGACTTTACTGGAGGTTTTGAGTATACATTGTATGTAAATATCTCGTATATGTTTAGGATTCGTATCATGATTGCATGAATTATTTGTTTATTTCATATTCCCTACGGTTCTTGGATTGTTTAATGTAAAAAATAAGAAAGATTCGTTATCTCTAAGGCTTAGGCAGTGTTGGATCACAAAAGAGCCTTACTAACAGAATGAGAAAAAGGCAAACGTTAAGTAAAAAAATTACGAATTCTTTTAAAAAATCATGAATTCTTTTTCTTCTTCTTCTTATTTCACATTATGTGAGGTTGGCGTAGCATGTTCTCTTGCCATGCTGCATAGGGATTTGGCATCACTTTTACGACTGGCACCCTGCCTGATGTCAACCCTCTTTGAGTTAAATTTCCAGTAATCATCCATTCCTACATAGGTACCGTAGAGAGGGAGGGACTTTTCTGTTTCTTCTTTGAGGCTTATTTTACACAATCCGTTTTTAGTTCAATGATTTTTTTATTGCTTATATGGGTGGATGAGCTCACAGCCCACCTGGTGTTAAGTGGTTACTAGAGCCCATAGATATCTACAAGGTAAATGCCGCGACCCACCTTGAGATATGATTTCTAAGGTCTCAGTATAGTTACAACGGCTGCCCCACCTTTCAAACCCAAAAGCATTACTGCTTCACGGTAGAAATAGGCAGGGTGGTGATACCTACCCGTGCAGACTCACAAGAGGTCTTACCACCAGTAAATTACATTTTATGATATGTGACGAATAAAATTTTGGAAATTTGTGGATTTTGTAAGCAATACTTGTATTACAAATATACAACTTTTAAGCATTTGGTTATTAGGCGTACCGTCTAATAAGTATGATATGCGATGCAACTTTAAGTTAGCCTTAGCGAATGGCTGCAAAATCCTTTCATGATTTGATAATACATTAAGCACTTGTGTGAATGTCATATTATGTATAAGTAAAAACCCTAAGACCAAGGAAATCGATTTTATTTGACATATTGGCTATGCAAAACTACGAAATAGAGCATTTAAGAGTGAACCGACTCATTTATATTTTCTGAATTCTTTTAAAATCCTGATAAGAGCTCTACAAGTTATCAAAAAGTCATAATTTAGCTTTTTATAAATAGCTATAACAGCACATGTTTATTTGTTACGCTCTTATAGAAGAGTAATAACAGAGAGATATAAATGATCATAAACAACTGTCTAGAGGACATTATCAGTATTGTTAACAATCAAACGACCGTGAGCATTTAATTGCAGTCCATCGAGTCTTATTAGTGGAAATGGATATTCGTTTAGATAAAAGTTTGAGTTGATCTGTAAGGCTTCGACCATGTCAAGCTATTAGAGATTTCTCGTCCCTCCGTCTGTACTTGTAGTAGTATGTTACTACTACTTACTAACCTTATTTTCTAGCCAAAGCTTCTCAGTAACTCCTATCCTTCCTAACAAATTCAAGTTTCTTCAAATACTAACTACAATTACTTTGGTAACCGCATTAATTATTGTATTGTACCTTAATTCCTACTCTTTGTTCGCTTAAGTCGTGGGTTTGGAGTTTGGAGTCCACACGGGTTATTAACATCGACCTATTTCTTTCGTGAAGAAACCTCGCGTTTGTGTCTGAAGATAACTGTTATTCCAATGCAAATTAGAATTACTTTAACACAAGATGGATGCCGGCATTCACGTGGTGCCTTAGGGACTCCGTTAGTTCAACATCTACGGAAATTATTAAAAATATGGGTTTACCAACACTACTCAGTCAAGAAGAAGGAGATAGTTCTTCTTCTTCTTGATTGAGTAGGGTTGGCAAACCCATTTCTTGATTAGTACCAAGAAATGGGTTTCCCTAATATTGAGTTACCTTTTTAATTCGCGAGTAGACTATAATGCTATAGAGTGTGATCATGAAATTCCGTCATTTCTGAACCACAAATCCTAAGAGACGTTTCGCGTTTCCACAACTAGGCTGGTTAATTAGAATTGCCGCTGCGTGACTTTA